GAGAGAGAGAGAGAGAGAGAGAGAGAGAGAGAGAGAGAGAGAGAGAGAGAGAGAGAGAGAGTCCTGCAGCTGCAGTTCATGGCTTGGGCACTTGTATCTTCTGTATTATAAAGCATGTGTGTGCCCTAAGTGAGTATGCTGCGTGTACGCCGTGAGCAGTCTGTCAAAAAAGCTGTGTAGTTGCCATTTCTTCGTCTTGCCTTTTTATTTTCTCTGGAGTGTTTCTTGTCCACTTTCTTTTCTTTGTGGAAACAGAAGTATTTTATCGTGGAATCAGACCTGCTATTAATGCAGGATTGTCTATAAATCGAGTACCAGGTTCTGGCTCTGTACGTCTCAGGGTCTTGTAATAGTGCTGACATTTCTCTGACTGCCAATTTGTCCATCCGCCCCTCAGTCCATTTGTTTGTTTGTCCATCTTTCTTTTTAGTAGTTTGCTTGTCCATCAGTCCATGTACCCCATTGTCCACTTGCCCAGCTGCCCATCACTGGCTATCAGTCCATTTGTTTTGTTGTCCATTTGTCCATATGTTGGTCTATTAGTTTGTTGTTTGTCCCTCTTCGTCCACCGCAGAACAGACAAGCTGTGGCAAACTGACACCTTGTCCCCATCTCGACTCCCAAACCCAGCAATGGACCGCCGTTTTTGCTTTGTGGGGATGGCAGTGCCGTCCTCCAGCATGGTACGGTCATACCACGGCCAATGCGCCCGATCCCATCCGAACTCGGAAGCCAAGCGCCGTTGGGCCGGAATAGTACTGGGATAGGTGACCTCCTGGGAGGTCCCGGTGCTGTACCTACCGGCAGGGAAGCCCCTTTTGGGCGGCGGCGGAAGAGCTGCACAACAACATGCAAAGGGATGTTGAGCGCTTGAAGCGCGCTCGTATGTGGCCAACACATGCAGCGCGTGGCACAGCAAAAACGTAAGACTGGGAAGTGACAGGCAGGAGGCGGGGAAAGGCGTGCGCAGAGTAATGCGCAGCGAGGGCGGCGAGATTCCGCCTTCACAGAACGGCCACTGCAGGACAGCAAGGCGGGTGTGGGGAAGAGAGGGGCGACACCAACTCCGCTCCCAAACATCATATCCTTCGGCCCCCTTGCACTGGCACCCACCTTGAGGGATTCCCCCCCACTTCCACCACTGAACAAGCCAGTGCTCGGACCCTTCGGAAACCGGCTTCCGTTCCCCAGACACCCGCTTTCCACCCCTGCTGTTTGCTGAGTGTTCGCTATGCCACAGCGTTTGCCCTGCCCTCCCGGGCCTCCGCGAACAAACAGTTCTCAACCACAATAACATGCACACGACATCAAAGCACTTGTCAACCAACCATAACGGCACCTCACTTTTCTTTGCAGTGGCAGCGGCTCCCAGCGTCTTTTTCCCTGTGCAGATTTCTTTGTGTGCGTCTTTTTTTCTTTTTTTTTTTTGCCCTTTTTTGGCTGAAGAATGTGGATTGTTGCCCCGCCCTAAGGACTTGGACTCGGAACCGTCAGGTGGGCGCGCGATTTGCCTGGTGCCGCCAACCTTTCTCGGCTGGGCACTCCGAGCCTTTCCGCGGCCCCATGTTAACCGGAAGGGGGGTTTCCAATCAATGGCTGTTCCGGCCACTGGCGAACGGCCCTAGAGGTGGAGGATGCACCTGTTCAAGTCAATCTCTTCAGGCAATTTGGGAATCAATAATTTCACCTCAGAGATCCACCCGCGTCGTTGAAATTTAGCATCAGATTCTTTGTAAAGCAAAACATCGTTTCTCTTGGCATATTTATTATACTATCTTTTTTCCTTAATCTCTATCTCTATACCCTTAAAGCAAGCAAAGGGCCCAGTGTTACGGCCCCGCTGGGCCCAGCAGAAACCGGCGCGGGGGCGAAGAGTTCCAAAGGGCGCCGCAGCGGAAAAGCACGGGGCCAGGAGCGCACGGCAGCGGGGAAGCACGGGGCCAGGAGGACGCACGGCGCATGGCGGAAAAGCGGGCGGAGGGTCGCGGCCCAGTGCGCGTGTCGTTTCGTGGCGGTGGTACGGACCGCACCGCCGCACAGTGGAAATGGGGTCGAGGGGTTGCGTCCTGGCGCGCGCGTCGTCTCGGCGTTGTTACCGACCGAAGCGCTGGGAACGCGGTCGCGGTCTTGGAGTCCCTGGCGCCTATTGAGTGCGTGTCGCCGGCGCACGTGTTTGCGCGGCTCCGATGTAGCGCAGCGAGGTGCGTCGTACTGCAGCGAGGTGTGTGCGTGCGCTTGCGGGTTTTTGAGCACAGGCCCGTGCATGCCCGATGCTGGCATGTCAAGACGTTGGACTGCGACGACGCATGCGATGCGCGCTGGCCGACGGTGCCATGTCGAGACGTGCGATTGTGATGATGCATGCCATGCGAGCCGGGCTGGATGCGCAAAGAGAGGGACTCGGTCTGGTGGTTGAGACGGACCGGCGAACGTATATATATATATATATATATAGAGAGAGAGAGAGAGAGAGAGAGAGAGAGAGAGAGAGAGAGAGAGAGAGAGAGAGAGAGAGAGAGAG